TCGATACTTTGCAAAGTACTCGTAGTATCGGATACTTATTAAAAAACACACTTTTTAAATTTTTTCTTCCATTGGCAACCCAATTTTCTTTGCTTGTATGGATTACTATCATTCAATTTTGTCTTAGTCTGTTGTATAGCATAAACTAAATAAGTTAAAGTTGAATGGCCTTATTCATAAAAAATAAAGTAGGTTTAAAGAGCTTAATAAAATTACATTTTCATACATTTTTCAGTTTATATACATTTTTGATTTTTTATGAATAAGGCCATAAAACTTTACGCAAAGTTCACGAAAATGCAGAATTTTTAGAAACTTTTTGGGTATGCAGTTTTGTAACCTATTCAAGTTTACGTGTAGCCTACTACCGTTGACTTTTACAGGTCTATTCTGCGCTGGTACTAAAAAGTTTGTAACCGGTAAATAAAGTTCCTGTCAATTTTTAAACCTTTTCGCATTCTGTATACTCTTGTAACCATCTCATAAGCTGGTAATAAATTATTGCCCCGTGAAATATTCAATGCAGGATTTGCACAATTCCTCATAGCTGAATTGCTGAATATTTTAACTGCATTACCAACGTACCTAGAATCGCGGTGACAAGAACTGGTAAAATTTTTTGGTAATACAATTTTCCGGTTACAAAATCTTCGGTAACGTGCAGAATAGACATGTTAATTCAAACTTCCACATTATTATACTAAAATTGAATAGAATACAAAAATGCATGCCCAAAAAGTTTACAAAAAAATTTCTTAATAAAATTTGAATTCGTGAAAGTATATATATATGTATTTATATATATATCGTCGTTTAAAGTGCAAAACCGCGTATCAACAAAATGCAATACCGCGTATCAGCAAAATGCAAAACCGCGTATGTAAAGTTGTAGAAATTATTTTCTAGGTTTAAAAAAACTCTCATATTTCAAAATGGTTTCCTTTTTTATAAAGCAATCGCGTTTCTGGTTAGTGTATTTCAGGACGAATGGATAAGGATTGAGCCAAGAGCTTGTGTGAGCAAATCCAATTTGTGGCAGCCAATGTCAGTTACGCGGTTTTTGCGGAATGACGATACGCGGTTTCGTACTTTAAACGACGATATATGTATTTATGTATGTATGTATATTTAACGTTAAAATTACTTCTAACGTGAAAGTAAGTTCTGAAATGAATTGAAAATCAAATATTTTAAATTTCTGTAGTTTTAATTTCAGGAAATAACTAGATATACGATTGAGGAATAAAATAATTTTAGTATTTTAATGATACTTTTAGAGTATCGATACCATGAGCTCGATGCCAGAATGAGTACTCAGTATCGATACCAAAGTCTGAAATTTCGAACCCTACCAACGGGAAATTGAAGACCAGCACGGTTGGAACGAGACTTTGCCTTTCCCTTACCGCAGAACTCCACAGGCGAACAGCGATGGCCTACCAACTGTCAGTTTGACGAGCAATGTGATTGCAAGTTTTTGTGTGTGGGCACTTTGATGTCTTGAAATAAGCTTTTGCCGCATGACGCCACCAGACACCATTCTCTCAATTTCGGCGTTTAAAAACATTTAAATCTTTAAAAAACTAGCTAAATAATTTCCTAAAACGCAATCATAAATTATCCAATACGGAACAGATTTTTATTTTGATTTAATATCAAAATTTTATCGATGTTACCACTAGCACGCTTTCTTTCAAATGAAAATATGGCTGTCAAACTATCGAATTGCCTGCAATAGATGTCAAGCAATAGATGTCAAGCAATAAGAGCTGACATATATTGCAGCACATGAGAAATAGGCGGTCTCCATTGGAAATATATTTTGTGACATGGTTATCACGACATCAGTGTATTCCTGTGGAGACAGGGCCTTAACTTTGCCACCTTTACCACGACCAGACATTTTTGGTTATTTTTCTCTTATTTTTCACTTCACTAATAAAACACTTCACAGTATGCTCACAAGCAGTATATGCTAGTAAACTCAAAGTGCGCTGCTTATATACTTTTTCATTTGGCTATCATTCATCCCCTTTACAATGTATTTAAATTCGTGTTTGCCTTTTCCGCCGAATCGTTGCGTTGCCTGAATGTATTGTCGGAAAAATGCACTTAAGCGTACACATTTCAAACCTTGTTATGGAGTGACTCAAAAGTGAAGTGATTTGAAAAATGCCGCCTAAAACTAGTGGAAAAGCAGCGAAGAAAGCCGGCAAGGCTTAGAAGAATATAAGTCCCCTTTCAGACACGTCAAGTCTTGCTTTCAAGTCTGCTCGTTCGTAGGCGAAGGAGGTGAGAAGAGAGGGGAAGAGTACAGATATCTCCGTATTGTCAATTCGTTACAAGTTTTCTTGTCTCTTTTGATCTTTTCGTTGCTTCCCATTTAAAGAACCAAGGACTTGAATTCAATTAAAGTTGACGCGTGTGGAAGCAAATAGAAAACACAAAAGAGAATGCGAAAAAAATTGCTTTCAAGACTTGACGTGTCTGAAAGGGGACTAACCAAAAATGACAAGAAGAAGAAGCGCAAGAGGAAGGAAAGCTATGCCATCTACATCTACAAGGTTTTGAAGCAAGTACATCCTGATACCAGCATTTCGTCAAAGGCCATGAGTATCATGAACAGTTTTGTGAATGATATCTTTGAGCGTATTGCTGGTGAGGCATCACGTTTAGCCCACTACAACAAACGTTCAACCATCACCAGTCGCGAAATTCAGACTGCCGTACGTCTACTTTTACCTGGTGAATTGGCCAAGCACGCCGTCAGTGAAGCTCTAAATGGGTGTATAATGAAATCCCGATATACAAAATACCGAAATACAGAATCCCGAAAGGCATTATCCAGACACGACCAAATCCCGACCAGACATAATCCAGACACGACCAAATCGCGCGATTTTTTAATTATTTTTATATTTTGTCGGGATTTTTGTCATGATTGTCTTCTGTTTTCATTCAAAAATAATGTATAAAAGACACATTTATTGTTATTGTTGTAAGGGCTTACTTAGCCCGTAATTGTCAGCAGGCTCAACTAACGGTAGGCCCAGGAGATTTGATATTTCGATGAGGTAAACCAGAGGGAGAGGGGGGATGTTAGTTGAGTTGGATTGGNGAGGTATAACCAGAGGGAGAGGGGGGATGTTAGTTGAGTTGGATTGAGTGAGCATGTGAAGAGGTGGTTGGTGTCAAGGGGGGAATCTCCACATGCTGGACACTCATTTTCGATATTGGGAGGCGATTTGGGCCATCTCGTTGGGGTATCTCGTGGCAGTTGAAGCTCACTCTCGTTCACAGGTGGTGATTGGCACTGATGACGGCATTCACTTGACTGGAGTTTGTAAATACCGTTAATAGCCTGTCTGTACAGTCCCAGTCCCTGGGGTGCTGTGCGTAGTGCTCGACCTGGTCCTTCATTGTATGCGCCGGGAACGAGAGCTAGATCTGACAATTTTCCTGTTATTCACCGTTGGAATTAGTTTGCCATCGACGAGAATACGCAGCTTTCGTCCTTGTGGTAAAATGGTTGCCGAGAGGGTTAGGCTCCTTGCAGTGAAGAAGCGAAAAAATGTGGAGTGGTAACCGTTTATATTTAAGCATAAGTCATCAATTTCATTTCCGGACGCATTGTAATTTTTTTTTGTCTGGATTTTGTCTTGTCTGAATAATGTGTTATCTGTATTTTATTTGGTCGGGATTTTGTTATGTCTGTATTATGTCCTGTCTGGATTTTGTATTGTCTGGATTTTTAAAAATTGTCTGGATTATGTCTAGTCGGGATCTTCAAAGTCGGGATTATGGAGTGCTCCCGCTCTAAATAATTTGTCCAATCAAGATGCAGTGAAACAAAGAAAACGGCCCTTCTCAGGGCCACAACATATTAATTAAAGAGGTATAAAATTTCTGTGTATAAGCGCAAATCAAATATATATATATATATACGTATATATGTATTAGAGATGGGCACAGGACTAAATATTTAATCCCGATCCCGCCGATCCCGAAATTCGATTTTTAGGTCCCGAACCCGCCCATCCCGACATTTTTCAGAATTGTACCGCGGGTCCCGATATCTGTCTCTAAAGCAGGCTACACACGGACAACAAATTGAAACGAGCGGTTGAGATTTCAACGTGTGTGGCGAGGTTTACAAACCGATCGAAGGTTCACAAAAATGTATTCCATTCCAGAACGCATACGAAATGTTAAAAAAAACGTGCCAAATGATGAAATGTAACATGGCATTTGACATTTTAATTTTTTTTTGAAGAAGCGACGCATACAAATTTTAGTGCTTTGGAATTTTCAAAAATCTAAGATATTTAAAGAAAATGTGCTTAAACTAGTTAAAAATGCCAAATGCCTTTCTACATATGTATGTTAATTTATTTACTTACATATGTGCATTAGGATAATTTTTTTTTTTCATATACATATCTGATTGTGTAAACAAAGTATTTTTTGATCTTTTTGCCAAAAGATTTTGTAGCCCTGAAAAGGGCTTTTTAAGTTTGTTTCGGGAATATGGATTCCGTAAAAAAATTTACTTAGCAGCTGTTGCTTTTTTTGCGGCTGGTTTTTTACTAGCGGCAGCTTTCTTTGGTTTGGCAGCGGCCGATTTTGCTTTTGCCGCCTTTGGTTTGGCGGCAGCTGATTTAGCTTTGGCTGGCTTTGCTTTTACTGCACCAGTCTTTTATGCATCTTTCGCCTTGGCTTTTTCACTTTTCTTCTTTTCAGCTGTGTTCTTGCTAGCGACGGCTTTCTTCACCTTTTTCTCACCAGCCGCCTTTTTGGCACCACTTACCGCCTTTTTCTTCGATGCTGCACCAGTAGCCGTCTTCTTTTTGGCCTTGGCCTTCTCTGCTTTTGGCTTTACTTTTCCCTCACTGGATTTTGAGGCCGAAGCTGATAATTTGAATGAACCAGACGCACCTTTTCCTTTGGTTTGAATCAATTTTCCACTGGAAACGGCAGATTTCAAATAACGCTTGATGAATGGTGCCAATTTTTGAGCATCGCACTTATATGTGGCACTAATGTATTTCTTAATTGCCAAAAGTGATGAGCCGCCACGTTCCTTTAAACTCTTAATCGATGCGTCGACCATTTGTTGAGTTGGTGGATGGGTAGGAGCAGCCGATGGTTTTTTGGGTTTAGCTGCCTTTTTAGCAGCAACTTTCTTTTCAGCGACAGTCGCAGAAGCGGCCACCGGAGAACTAACATTAGCAACAGCAGCTGAATCGGACATTTTTAAAAATTCTTATTTTTTTTCTTTCTTTATTTAATAACACGCACTTTATACACTGTATTTATGCTATATTACGCACTGATATGAAATTTGTTTTTTCAAACACTAGCTATTATTAAAAGTGTTAGTCCATAAAAATTGTGAGAAGCGAGGCGAAGAGATGAGTTAAAAATTTTTAGGATTCAGTACTATTTGGCATTTGTGTATGAGAAATTTTGAGATGAATTAAATTAATTAAAAATCATGTAAGAATTTATGAATAAAATTTGATACATAACGATAGCTTAAATATGTTGTTTCAATAAAATATAACGTAAATTGAATAAGATGAATATCTTTGTTGTAGCGGGTATTTTAATCCAAACTTTGTAATCGAAAAATCAAATTTCGCCAATTA